TGGACAGCATCTCAAACTGATATCCCACACTGCTTCAAATTTCACACAGCTTCATCTCTGTTATTTACTGTCTCCAAGGTGGTGCTTACTTCTGTAATTATTTACATATTCTGCTAGTAAACTTCTAGTGTTCTTGCAAACCCATTCCCTATTTGATTTCATTTTGTTGTCTTTATTTGAGTCGATTTCCTCCTCCTGGCTCCTAGTTCCTGCTTTTTAGGTAAGACTCAACCCTATATTGAAGAACAGCTTAAACAGTTTTGGTGAGGTGTTTTCATTTATTTTGATACTTTCCTATTTTCTTTAATAGTTCCTTTTCTTTTACTCCTCCAGTCTTTATATTGCATGAATATTTCTATAGCTAAATTCTAGCCCTAGGTTTATTTTATTCTGTATATATATCTTTTCTATATTTTATCTACACCTATTCGTTTACAATCTATATTCAGATGATTCAAAGCCTTTTAGCTCCAGTTTGGGTCCACATTGTTGTTGTCCTTAGAACATTTACCTCCAGATGTCACGTTGCCTTGAATATGACAGAGCACCACTTATGTTGCTGCTGCTGAATTCACTGCCTTGAGGAAAATGTATTGATTTCTTATTAACCTTTGTGTGTTCCATTTGTCAGGTGGATGCTGGAATGTTATGTTGTTAACTTAAGATGATTTTGTACTGTAAGGGTGCTAAACCAGTATCAAGATTGTTGGATATGGCTACGTATGGATCTGTTTTGTGTGGCTATTTTCTTTGGCCTACAGAGTGTATTGTATCTTAGTTGTTATGTAAGCCACTTTATACCTTATATCTTAAGCTCAGTCAGCTTCTATATTTATGGTACCTGCCTAGCTTATGAAAGAAGTCATGCCCCTTAATGGGAAAGAACAGTTAGAACAAAAATATTTGCAATATAATGAGTTAAAGCTACTCAGAAAGACTTATGGAAAAAATATTGCAAATTATAACCGAATTTTAATAGTGGTTATCTATGGGTAGTGTGATTAGAGAGGTGCTTTCTCATTACCTTACTTCTTACTTGTAGTTTCCAAATTATCTTTAATGAATAACATATTTAGTATAAAACCAGTCGAGACTAACTTAAAAGGATGTGGTTTTGTGTACGTATCCCATAATACTAAGCACCAACTGTTAAGCCCAGGTCTGTGCTTGACACTTAGACAAATTATAATTCAGAAGATACATGAGATACCAACATTCCATTAAAGGGTTTGTCGTCCTGCTTTGAGAAACAATGTGATACAGGCTCTACTGAGATGTTACCAGTGAAAAAGAACACGGGCAGATCCATAGAATATTCTCAGGTTATATAAAGGAAGAGGCCACTTAGGCTGTGAGGGACGGCACTGGGTTGAAATGATGGTGATATGTTTGGAATGTCATCTCCATAGATAGTCTTTCTCATAACCTGGTTCTTCTTTGTGTTGTATGTATTGTCATCACTTTGGGACTTACTGCTCTTTGACGTTGCCCAGTAGATTTTTTGAGTGTGTTAAGCCTTGTTGTTCGGGAAAGAGGCAAAAACAAAAGCAAAAACTGAATTCTAAGGTGTTAACATCCTGGTAAATGGAGATACTTGACTCTTTGGAGGAATGCGGACATACCAGTCCCGGGCAGGACCGCCAAACTGAAACAGCTACGGTGAGGGATACTATTTGTTTAGACAGATTCTTTTTCTTTGTATTAAACTTCATTCTTTAGAGATCATAGAGCAACAATTTACAAAATGAAATTAGGACCTCATAATCCTTTTTGTTCATGAAGCATTATTAGGAAAAGGTAGCTTCATGTGCTTCTGGGGAGCTAATTAGTTGCTGCCTGGCTTATCGTGCTGAGAGGCTGCTGTGATTCATGGGTATTTACCCATCACAACAGGATTTTCTAATGCTATTTGGTTATGAAATTATTTATACCCTGACTCAGGGCTTTAAAAGGGCTTCCAGCAGTTTTTGAAAGCCAACTCTGAGCTCAGGAGCGTTTTGTGCGGCTCATGGTCAATCAGCGGGGCAAGTGTGAACTGGGGCTTCACAGCAACGTCTGAGGTGTGGCTTTCTGGTGCGACTCCTCCAGACAAATGTGATAATGAGTTTCCATCGATGTAGGCCTTTTTGTTTTGTAAGAAGTCTTAACTTTTAATAAATATTCAGAAACAATACCAACACAGATTTTTGTGGTTGCGTTTACTCTAATAAGCTAACGATGACAAGAGCTTGTACCGCTACATTCTTTATGTTCATTTCAATTCACGAGTTCAGTGTGGATAATTAAGAATTTGTTCTTTCTTTATGAGATATTCTTTTTTTGGATTACTGATTGGAATAGGGCAGAAATCAGAAGCTCTTTATAGAACACTCCCCAGCTTTAAATATCTTTAACTACATTCATTTATGAAGCACCTCATTTTTAATTTGGGGAATCTTAGGCAGTATTACTTAACTGTCCTTCACTGGGATAGTCAGCTTTGCTGTTTCCCCAAAGTGAGAAGGAGATTTTGGGGTGACATAGCCTTAACGTTCAAGGCTTTCCCAGCGTGGGCATTACGTTTAGGAATCCACAGATTATGGTCTGCGTGGGTTGTTTTATTGACGGCAGAGTGAATTGACAGGACCTGTGCTTGACGTGCATGTTGGACAGGTGTAATCACAGTGACCCTGCAGCCTGTTCCTCTTCCTGATCATCAGTATTCTTTTATGGTCTCCATTTTCATTAAGCAGTTTTATGAAAGCAAATTTTAAACTTGTCTAGTTTGAAATTATACAGTGAAAAACATTTGGTTCTTACTTTTTTTTTTACTAATTCATCTGAGCTCTTGAACATGACATTTGGTGGCAGTGAGTCACATAGCAGACAGCAGAGGCAGGGAAGAGATCCACCCTTCCTGCCCCTTGAAGTTCATTTTGTGCTCGCTAGGGTAGGAGGGCCAAAAATAAAACGGGCCTGAGAAAGTGCCAAAGGGTCACATCCTAAACAGAGGCACGTCACTCAGTCCTTCAGTGACACGTTAACAAAGATTCGGGGACCTGAATCTATGAGATCCACCTTGACAGTAACTTATTATGTGACTTTCTAAAGATCTTTTCTTGTCTGTCACTGAGGCTGGGTTTCTTTACCTTTTCTAAAGGCTAGTGAGTGATACTTGTCCCGCCTGCCTACTGAAAGGGCGACCGTACGTGAAATGCAAAATGGTAATATAGAAAGACTTTAGAAAATAACATAGTATTCAAGGGTAAAGTAGATGCTTGCTGGTCACGTCTCTTTCTTCCTCCTTAAATATCGGAGTTTTTCAGGACTCTCTTCTAGGCATTCTTGCTGTGTTCCATTTCGGGGAAGTCTCATCCATTCCCATGTTTTCAATTGTATGTACCGTCCACACAGAACCATCTTTTGAGATCCAGATATTTTATAAACCCCAAACTCCACGGTACCCAGTCTCAGTTTGGAGTTACATTGAAAGAAATGCAGTCTAGCAACTAAAAGCAATTAAATAGTAATACTCCTCCTTTCTTGCTTCGCAAAGAATATAATAGCACGGAGGTTACAATTCAGCAATATTTCAAAAAATCTCTTAACCACCCTGCCCCCCTACCACAGCCACAATCAATCTCTGTGTTCTAGGCTCCCAATTTTTTTCCATACTGACCCTGAGTCTCTCACTCACAACTCCCTCCAGTCTTTTTTCATTTGAACTTCTCACAAACTAAATCTTCAGCCCATGTTTTTTTCTCTCTAGACTTTTTTTTTTTTTTTTTTTTTTTGCCTAGCATGGTAATAGCTTAAGAACTAGGCTGGCAAAGACCAAATTCTCCCTTGAGGATGAGAGAGGAAGAAAAGTTTATTTATTTTGGCAAAGACTCTTATTTGGGTAGGAGAAAAGAGGAGTCTGGAATATTTACATGTAAATGATCTGTATTCCCAGCACTCTTAGGGAGAGCTCTGCTTGTTCTTTACTTGAATATTTTGCAGAGCACTTCTGACTCAGCCTGTCTAAAACTTGACATGATTTTCTACCCAAACTTAATTTTCTCTAATATCCCTTATCTTCGTACAAAACATGCACCACGTTCCTAGTTGCTAATTCAGGGCCATGAACACCCTCGGATTCTTCCTCTCCTCCTCATCCTTCACAGTACCACTCAGATTCTCTTTAGCCTAGATACCAAATACATACTTCTGGAGTTTCTCCATTTTACTCTGTCTCTGCTGTTGCCACCACAGGCTTTTATGTTTAAGATCATTTGTTTTGTCTTTTTTTTTTTTTTTGGTGGGGAGAGGTAATTAAGTTTTTATTTCTTAATTTTTTCAATGAAGCACCTGGAGCTTGAACCCAGGACTTCGTGCATGCTAAGCACACACTCTACCACTCAGCTTTACCCTTCCCCTCTTTAAGATCATTTGTTTTTGAAGAGTGGAAATTCCTAAAGTGCTGTCCGTTGTAAGCTGTTTCTGAAATGTACATCTGGCCAACTGAATAAGGCAATTTAATGCAGAGATTTCTAATGAGTAAACCAGTTAAGAGTTTTGGTGTGTCGACTGGAAATGATGACTTTGAATAGTTAATATGTATTTTGGGGTGATTTTTGATTCTCCCCATTGCCTGATTACATTTCCATGAAGACTAAAAATACTTAGGTAAATTTCGTCTACTAGAGAGCATTTTCCTATTTTCAGTCTTCAGAAAGTTGTAAAGCATACTTCCGTGCATTCTAAAGTCATCTGAGATCTCTAGGGGTACTTTCATGTGTCAGCTTTCAAGTGATAATGTGAAAAATGATACTCAGATTGGTATCTCAGAAGTCCTTACTTACCTGTAGCAGTCACTAGTTATAAACAAAAGCTTTAAATATACGGTAAATCTTTGTTTAAAGTAGAAAGTCAAGCGCATAATGTGTGTATCTGCATATGTCTTAGTGTATCATTAATATTTGTAACAACAGGAATCTCGAGTAAATGTCTAATGTTCACTTTGTACTGTTTCTTTACAGGCATTGCTTCCATGACGGTGCCCGTGTACATCGCTGAAGTCTCACCGCCCAATTTAAGAGGTCGATTAGTCACCATTAATACCCTCTTCATCACAGGAGGGCAGTTCTTTGCAAGTGTTGTTGATGGAGCCTTCAGTTACCTCCAAAAGGATGGATGGAGGTCTGTAAATAGTCCTTACATTGAATTTTCAAGTAAATTATGATTTTAGGGGAGGAAGAACAATTGAGAAATGATAGGAAAAAATCTAACTGGGTATTTTGCAGCATTGTAGCTAATTTATAAGTGATGGCATTCAGCAAAATTGAAAGTGGACAAGAAGCTGACATTTGTTTTCATGACAGACAAGGAACCTACCATTAAGAATTGATATTTACAGGGCTTTTAGCATTTAGGTGACATTTCTGACACTGTGTGTAATATTTTACAATATTTGTCTAAACATGAATGCAGCAATATATATGCATGGCGTTTCTGAATTGTATCAGTGATTGGCAAGCTGTTCATGAACTACAGATGTAGCTGACATCCTTTTTGGATTTAGGAAGCTCTATTCTGATCTGAATGAAAGAAACCTCAATCTTTAAAGATACAGATTTAGCCTTACAAAAAGATGTTGTGTATGTAAACTTAAAATACACAGATTATTTCTTGATCATTATTTGGTTTACTTTGAATCAAAAGAGATGAGGGAAATATTTTTACAACTGCTTTAAAATATTTTCAAACTGAATATGGTGAAAAAAAAAGACTAATCTTATGTTAAAGCTTAAAGATATTTTGGGCTCTGGATTTTTGTATGCTTCATGGTATGCAAAACAGCAGATTCATGTAACCCTTCCAGGGTTTTAAATTTTAATGAAAATTTCCTATACTCTGTGTAGGTTTGGGGATAAAGTATTGAACAAGACAGACTAGTGCTTGTCTGCATGTTGTTTACAGTATTGAAGTTAGTTCTTAATAGCTGAAGAAAAAGGGTTTGCTGCTGTGGATGTAGGGAATTGAACTTCTGTGTGTAAGCAGCACAACAAATCACATGGCTTAAGATGAGGCATTAATGATTTAGACTGATGAAGTTTTATTAAAAGTCACTGAAGCCAGTTAGGACCTACGTTTTTCAGGATCATTAGAGAGAGAACACCGTTCTTTAAGGTATTGCTGTCTGTAGATGTTGCCAAATCACTAAATCTACCTTTGAAGGAATGAATCTCTGCCAAAGTAAGAAGAAATTACTGAAAAACTGAAGGAGCAAGAAACTTCATCTTTCTTTTTCACTCTGTAGAAGAACCGAAAGAGGAAAGTGATAACTTGTTATTAGGATAACCTGATGTTTTGAGGTTTTTTTGGAAGCTCAATGGAAGCCAGTTAATCTTCCAACTCCACACAGCTTTAAGACGATCTAAATCATCTATTCACATTATGTTAAAAATTTTATTAACATAGATAATATAGATATAAATGCTTTTATAAAAAATCTGTTTTTAACTGAAAATATATAAAGTATATATCATGTTTTTAATCTAAGTATAGCAATTTTTATTTATTTTATTATCTTTTAAAAAGTAAGCAATTTATTTAAACCAAAAAAAAAAAAAGTTTACCCATTTCTGTCACCTCCAGCCACCACCTCTGGAAACTCCCTGTTTTCTGTGTATATGAGCTTGGTTTTTTGTTTGTTAGCTTTTCTGCTTTGTTTTGTATTTTTAGATTTCACATATAAGAGAGGGTATACAGTATTTGTCTTTATCTGCTATTCTAGCAGTATGAAATGATATCTCATCATGGTTTTGATTTGCACTGTCTTGATGATGAGTGATGTTGAGCATTTTTTCATGTACCTGTTGGCCATCTGCATGTCTTTGGAAAAATTACTATTCAGATCCTCTGCCCATTTTTAAATCAGATTGTTTGCTTTTTTGCTGTTGAGTTTGTATGAGTTCTTCATGTATTTTGGATAAAATCCCCTCATGAGATACATGATTTGCAGATATTTTCTCCCATTCAGGAGGTTGCCTTTTCATTTTGTTGATGGTTTCTTTTGTTGCGCAGAAACTTCTCAGTTTGATACGGTCTTACTTATTTATTTTTGCTTTTGCTACGTTTCCTTTTGTTCTCAGATTCAAAGTTCATTGCCAAGACATATGTCAAGGAGCTTACTGCTTATGTTTTCTTCTAGGAGTTTTATGGCTTCAGGTTGTATGTTCATATAGCTATTTATTTATTTATTTATTTATTTATTTATTTATTTATTTATTGACTGTATTCTTTTATAGCAGTTTCAGGTTCATAGCAGACCTGAGCAGAGAATACAGAGTTTGCACATAGCCCTCCCCATTTTGGCATATTTGGTACAATCGATGAACTAACATGGACAAATTATTATCAACCAAAGTCCACAGATTACATTAGGGTTCACTCTTGATGTTATACATTCTATGGGTTTTGACAAATGCATAATGACATGTAGCCACTACTATAGTATCGTACAGAATAATTTCATTGCCCTAAAAATCCCTTGTGCTCCTAAATATAGCAATTCAGATACCTTTTCTCCGTACTAGTTAGGAAAGAGAGAAAGATTATACAGTAGCAAAAATAACTTATGAATGTGGTGCCCTGTGTAGTTCACATTACAATGAAGAAAAATTTCAGCGTCTGTTACTGAATATAACGTAATTCTTACCAAAATCTTGAGCAGCTCGCATAACTAGTACTGTTCCCAATTTGCAGATTAAAAAAATTCTCAGAGAAGTTAAACATTTGCCTGCAATCACATGGTTATTAGTGGTATAGACTAGAGCCAAATCTTTTCTGCTCCAAATCTAACCACTTTTTTCCTCATTCTACTTCTAAAGAGTTTATAAGCTAAAATACTATCACTGATAATTTTTCCAGTCGCAATCAGATTAATATATACAGAAGATGAAATTGACAGAAAAACTTAGTTTTTGATGTTGTTGAAAGACTAACTGAACTTTTGTGCCAGATGAGTCAGAGATTCTGTCCTCTTATTGTTTGAGTGCCATAGAAATAAATTGTTTTCTGCTGAACTATTGGAAGATACATTTTCTCGGAAAAAAAGAATTGCCAGTAGAAGACTGCATGTTGATATTTTTCTAGGACTCTAGCGTCCTAATACATTCTGTTGCTGGGAAGGGGAGTCATCTGGCTTCATGAGGAAAGGAGAAATAAGCATATTGAAAATATTATTAAAGATTAAGTTTTTAAAACTAACTGGATGGAGATAAAATTCATATACCATTTAATTCACCCATTTAAAATGTACAATTCAGTGCCTTTCAGTATCTTTGCAGAGCTGTGCAGACATCATCACAGTCAAGTTTCGAACAGTTTTTCATTAACACTGAAAAGAAAACGTGCACCCCTTACCTGTCATCCCCAAACTTCCCAGCCCCTCCCAGCTCTAGGCCACCATTCGTCTACCCTCTTTCTCTATAGGTTTACTTATTCTGGGTATTTCATATGAATCAATCTGTGGTCTATTGTGACCGGCTTCTTTCACTTAGCATGTTTTTAAGATTCATCCATGTTGTAGCATGTACTTCATTTCTTTTTACTGGCAAATAATGTGGATATACCACATTTTGTCTGTTTGGCCATTCATCAGTTGACAGACTTTTGAGTTGTTTCCACTTGTTGGCTATTATAAGTAAGGCTGCTATGAATATTTATGTACAAGTTTCAGAGTGGACATGTATTTTCATTTCTCTTGGGTGTATAGATTCTAGGAATAGAATTACTAGGTCACATGTTAAATGTGTTTACCTTTTGGGGGACCGCAAGACTGTTCTCCAAAGCAGCTAACCCTATTTCACATCCCCACGTAGCAAAGTATGAGAACTCCAGTTTTTCCATATCCTAGTGAACCTTTATTATTGTCTGTCTTTTTGATTCTCGTCGTCTGAGTGGGGTAAGTTGCATCTCGTTGTGGTTTTGATTTGCATTTCCCTCATGACTACTGATGTTGAGATTCTCTTTTTACTTAGTATGTTATTAGTGCTTATAAAGATGGTAGTTATTTTGCAGTTACCATGTGACATTTTATCACTGTTTGCCCTTTTCTGTGCTAATATTTTTTAATCGTACTTATTGAACATAGTGAGATTTCTTGCCACACCTCAAGCAAAGAAAGGTTTTCTTTTTTTAATTGCAGAGTTAAAGCCTGGCTCGTGAACTTACCCACCACAGCGATCTGTCTAAAGCAGTTCTCTGGGTGTGCCACTGCTAACATGCTTAAAAGACTTTCCATTTCCTACAGGGAAAAAAAGCCTCGTTATCATGGTTTATAGTGTCTTTCATAATCCAATCATGCCTGCTTTTCTAGATTTTATAATTCATTGTTGCCACCCCCACTCCCCCTTTATACAACAACCATGCCTGTAAACCAGTCACCTCTTGCTTTTTCGTGTTGATTTTTTCACCTCCTGCTCACTTTGCCTGTAACGTCTTTCTACCCTGTCCTGGTTTACTGGTCCAATATTCGTTCTTCCTTTAAATCTCCACTTGTACAGCATGTGAAACTGTCTTTGTCCCTTTGTCCTTTCATAATCCTTTGTATACATGGCTTCACTTTGACTTTACTTCTATACTCATTGTCTTATTTTTGAACTGCTTGCTTATTTTGTATATTTCTTCTAACTCACTTTGGAGCTTCTTAATGTCACTGACCTGCTACTCATTTTTAGGTCTAGGAAAGGGCCTGGATCATAGTAGATGCTTAATAAATGCTTATTGAACTAAGCTGAAATTGTGAAAAATTGATTGGGCCCCAGAGAAGAGACTCTTAATCAAAGTAAAAAGATATTGATTATAAACCAAAATATCACTTCATTAA